AAAGAATGCTAGAAGGTTTTTTCATTCAATCAATATCAAATTAGTGTAACATTTGGTGTGGAGTAGATGAAGAGTATAACTAAATGATGTTAATTATGGCGCAAATTGTGCATGTAAAATATACAAGTACCAGATTTAATTTTAAATAAAAATGATTCGATTTATTTTTTTGTACGACTCATTATTGTACAGTCAAAGGTGTCTATTTGTCGTGAATGAGTGAATTTTGTAGAAAATTCTATTTAATATTGAAATTTATTTTTTATAAAAAATTTAGTTTTTAATTCAACAAAAGTTACAGATTCGAGAACAAAATATTTAATTGTCGTACACCAAAATGACTGGCCAGTTGTGCAACAATTAAGCAAGTTCGACAATTATAATTTCCCAAATAGACGCCTTTGACTGTAATTAAATTTCATCCAAATAAAAATCAAAATATATTTTATTATAAATAATTGTTTGAAATAAAATATTGTTAATCTTATCAAGTCGGACTCTTTTTCTTAATAGTTGGACTTTTTTCACCAACTTGATAAAAATATACTTTATTAATTAATTAAACAACCGTGATTAATTTAATGAATTAAATTTAATCAAATAATTTTAATACAATATTTTTATGTTTAATTAATTTATTTGAATTTTATTATTTATTCAAAAAACAAATCTTTTAATTGAGGTTGACGGAAAAAGTAAAATTATATCATTTTTTGGGTACAAAGTATTAATAATTACTTTTAAACCAAAAACCATTAAAAACAAACATAAAAAATTAATACAAATGTTTATTTGTAATAACAAATACTTAATGAGTGTAGAAGAACCAAGTTAAATTGACATATTTTAATTAATAACTTTTATAAAAAAAATAAATTTAATTTCGACTTTTTTTAAATTTTTTTAAACAAAAAATGAGTCATTTATAATAAGTATTTTTATTGTTTACAATATTTCGGTGGTTATTAATAAAAAACTAAACAATACATAAATGAAATTTTCTCTGATTCTTTTATAATTTTATCATAATAATATATATCTCGAGTTATACCACATACATTAAATAAATAATTTTAAAAATGAATTTTTAAAAAAACATCGTGTTGTGATTATCTTGACTGATGTAAAAGATGATAAATTACTAAAGTTCAAAGTCAATAATCAACTATATTATGTGATTATATAACTTAAAATTGTGTAAATTAACTTTAAATTGTTTTTAAATATTTTGATGATTATAAATGAACTAAAAATAAATTTTACATATTTATTGTTGTTTTCAACACGATAAAAATAATCCAAAACATTTTTCATGTCTTTAAAATAAACATTAAAATACAAAATAAAAATTATATTTTGTATCTAGTTTATTAAAACAATAAAAGACCAAAATGTATTACCTGATAAAAAGATGCAAAAAGACTGGATTTAAAAGATCGGCTGTGGTAAAATTGATAACTTTATTTTCAATTAAAAATTTCATAGAAAAATAATTTTATGTCAAGCTTACTTTTAATATGAAATAACAAATTTATCAATTTAAAATATAAAACATTTGATTAAAAAACAATTAAAATTTGTTTTTCTGTTTGGGTCAAGTGGCGTGTTCATTATTTTTCAATTTTTATAAAACATTTCTTAGTTTAAAATATTACAAACGATTATTTTTGTTTTTATAAACAGTTTGTTAAATCGAACAAACTTGTTTATCTTGTTTGATAATAGTGTTTTTTAAAAAACATTTTAAATACAAAAACTGAAAAGTTAGTTAATAGTTTAATCAAACAAACTATTAACATCACCAGCTTGTCTGATTTTTTAACGCCTTTAATTTTTATTATATTTTTGTCCGAAATAATAGATAATTTGTCTTGATATAAGAATCAATCTAATTCACAAATTATATTTGGATCATTAATTTAAACAACAATAACACGTTTTTAAAAAATAGTTTGAAAATCAAACAAAAAATGTTTAAAGCAAGTTTTAAAAAAAATCAAACAAAATATAGTTTGTTGTTCGTAAATGTAATTGCTAACTTAGTTGAACAAATTGAAATTATTAAATATATCCAAAACAATAACATTAATAAAATATAGTTTAAATATTTATTAATAATAATGTTTTAATAATTATTCACAATTATTAGTGATTATTCTGACAATTTGTGAGTAATAATATTGTTTTACTTGGAATACTATTCTTGCCAAATAAGTTGTATATTTTACTTTGATTGTTCTAAAACCCCGGCGTCCATTTAAAATGATTGATTTTTTATCTAAAAATAAGTTTAAACAATATCTTCATATGTCAAATATAAATAGCTTCTTCTATTTTTACAAGTTAATTACGAAGTAAAAAACAACTAGTTATTACTTATAGTGTCCTAAAATTTTATGTTAAGTTCTAAGTTAGAAATCTTATAAATAATCCTGTTTTTATAGAATTATTAAGTGTAAAATTATCAAACAAAATGTTATATTAAATTGTATCATTTATCTAAACACTTTGTTTTACCATTTGAAATAAACTAAAAATAATTCCAATGAATATTTCGAAATAATTCTGTAGATTTTACTATTTTAAATAATAGTTTTTAGTAGTTATAATAATAATATATTATCCAAAAAATCAATAATGGGAATTAGTCTAAAAATAAATTGTTTCTGTTATTAACGACTGTCAAATTAAATCATAACTTAATTTATTCTATAATTTTAAAATACCAATTAATTAAAATCAAAGAATACCCTAAAATAAAAGAAGTGAATATTATTTTAATATGAACTAGTTTGACCGTTCTGTTTTCAAAACACTTCAAAAAGATAGTAAAATAACTTGCGTGGTTACTTGCCGATAATTTTGCTACTTTATAAATAAATTGATTTTTTTATATTTTCTAAGTTTATTAATAAAAAAATATGGTTTATTATTAATTAAATTTACTATATTTCAGACAATAAAATGTAGTGTCAAGAATATTTTGGTTGTTCAAATATAATAAAGAATAATTGTTTGAGACTTTGTTTGGAAAGGCCAAAATAGGTTGTTTACAAGAAGAAAAAGAATAGTGTTAAAATCTTTCTTACATATTAAATCATTTTTTGGATCTACTAAAATAAACGCTATGTTTTTAGTCCTTTTTCTTGTGGCAGTCTCGTCAACGATAATATGTATGCCAACCTCGAGTCAATGTAAAACAGGAATTAAACTTCTATGTTTGTTTTAATTTAAGAATTATAATTATACTTGTATATTGATATTATATGGAATTTTTAAATAACCATTTCGTAATTCTATGGTTTAATGTTGCAAGAATATAAACAATATTAAACAACATCACGTCGAAATACCCACAAATAATTTTGATAATTGTGGTTTCAATCATTATGAATTAAAACATATAAAACAAAGTTATAATCGTTTATTTATTAATAACTAACATCAAGCTGGAAAGGGAGATTCATCATTTTGTGAAATTCTGTATATTTCTTATTTCTTCAATATGACGTCTGAATGTCTTAAAACATATGAAGGTATAAAATTATTTGAAATTGATGGTAATTATGAAATCAATTGTGACTCAAATATAAAGTTAACGAACGGGGTTTCATTTTTGACCAATTCTAACACATCTCTAATTGGTATTTCAAGTTTTGAAGATATCAATCTTTCGTTCTCACAAAATTCTTCAGTTTATATTGACTCGAACTTTTTACTTGGGAATGTTACATATAATTCCGGATTTTTAAATGTCGATGGTAATATCCAAATAAAAAAGGCTGTTATTATTAATAAAAAGGGCAAATTGAAAAGCAGTGAAAATATTATTGTAAAAAATGGAGGAAATTTGATATGTGAAGGTTGTGAAATAAGTTGTGAAGAAATGATATTAGAAAATGATGCTAATTTTGAATTAAAAAATCTTGGGATTATCAACATAAAGGTAATAAGAACGAGCCAAAACAATATTATTTTTCTTTCAAAAAGTTATACAAATGTTGAACATATTTATGTCACTCAATCTAGTCTTATTAAATTTGAAAATATGATGCAGAAAAATACAAACGAATGGGCGTTATCATTAGAAAAAAATTCCACTGCGCTGTTCGATATTAATAACAATTTTCACACACTTAAAGTTGTTTCGAAACCAGATTGCCAAATTAGTTTTAACGGAAAACAGACCATTAAAAACTTCGAATTTTCTTCCAATAACATTACTATGGAATTTAATTCTATAGTACACACCGAAACTTTCATATCAAGTGGTGATTCAACAATTTTTATTGCGGACGAAGTGACTGTAGAAACTAAAACAATGAAATTCGTTGAACAAACAAACTGTCTTTTGATGGGACTTGCTACCCTCTTCAGATTTGAAACTTTTGATATTCTGGATAACACTAATATAACTACTAAAAGTCAATCAAATGAAAACAATAAATATCTTCTTTTTGATGGTGTTA